TATTATTTAATGTTTCATGTTTAAAATTCACATGTTAACTTGCTCATTTTGCTGTAACATACAACTGATTAACTTGAGCAAAGAAATAATTGAATATAAAAATTGTGTACCCTGATTTTTGTACTGGATAATGATGATAAAAAATAACTAGAAGTGTTTCTCTCATTTTTTTGCTGTAAAATTATGGGTAAACATTTTTTTTAAATACACTAATTTCAATATTCAAGTTGATAATTCTTATATTACTTCACAATGAACAAGTTAATATTAAATATAATTTTTTTTTGGTATTTTCTATGGGACAAATGATCTTTGAATATTGATCACCATCAGAAAACGTCAATTCCAAAAAATCATCCTCAGCATAAATTTCTAAAATTAAAATATTTCTTTCTTTGTAAACACATCTATACTTGTTGCAATCAGTGTCCTTTGTCATATTGTTTTTCGTATGTTTGCATTGCATAGTATTTACTATAAAGATCACTGCTTTTTGTAATATATTATTACATCTTTTATTCAATTTTGCATGTTTAAAATTCACATGTTCGCATATTTATGAATGCCACATGCTTTGAAATCTTACGCTCCAAAGCCAGTCTCACGCGTTGCTTATGACTAGCTGTGCTATGAAATGCTCAGTCTAAAATCGTCTGGTGCGCTGAAGTTGGGGCAAGGTGTCAGATAGTCATGTTTTAAAAACATTTTAGTTGTTAGTGTCGAAGCAAAATTGATCATAAACAAAATCTCAACATGTGAGACTGCCCTCACATGCTTGAACAAGACATTCATTCCCATTGTGTGATTTTATTATTATTGACAAGAAAGCACCATTGTTCACTGTTGAGAAAATTTGATAATCAATATATTATTATATTACTATTACATTAATTATTATTTATTATTTAAATATATTTTTACTCGAATCTAAACATCTTGTTTAAAATTATTTGGTTTTTGTCAATTTGATAATTTTTGTCAACAATCTTAAAGCAACATTAAATTCCTTTTAAATCTGATGAAATTATAGAACTAATTAATTAATTTCGGATGGTAAATTTTTAATTCTAAAACAGTATCAAAATTTTGAAAAAAACATTTGTTATAGAAACTTGTTCCAATGTGTGAAAGTTAATTTTAAAAAATGGACCTTTCTCCTAAGCCCCTCCCCTTGGATATTGTTGCTAAGGTCCCAAAAAATGACACTGGCTATGTTCTCACACGGCAGCTAACGGTTAGCAGGATCCGGATCCTGCTAACCGTTAGCTGCCATGCGTCCATACGAGAAGATCCCAATCCGGATACCAAGAATATGATGATCGAATAACTGGCCAATAAGAAGCTGGAAATTGTAAACACGTACGTGTGATTGGTTGATGATAGAAACGCGCTCAACGTGCTAACCGATAGCACTTGCTAACCGTTAGCGGTATCCGGATACCGCTAACGGTTAGCGCTAACCGATTGGGCGTTCTCACACAGGTGCTAACAGTTAGCGCTAACGGTTAGCTCTCGATCCGGATAATAGGGCTCTCGTGAGAACCAGGCTAGTGTTGTGGGACAACATGTGTGCTTGTTAGACATGTATATTGTACCCCTGTTCTGATTGGTCAATTGTTAACATTGATTGGAAAGGCCCATCAGTGCATGTTTTTTTTATTTGCTTATATTTTTCAATATGCATCTTGACACCTTCTAAGCTTCTACTTGTATCAGTGAGTTTTGTATTTTTTTTATTCAAATTGCAGAAGAAGTTCTATATTGCCTGCTGTTGCATTGTACTTCTCGCAATCATTGCAATTGTTTTACTCATCCAATTTGCATAGTTCAAGATGGCATCATGCTGGATACCTCACGTTTATTACACCCTGCTCATTTGCATATTTGCATATTCATCAGAAACTACTATTACATTAGTTTATTTCTGTCAAAAATATTATATTTTTTTATAAGATAATAAACAACCACTCTTATTATTTAGAATTGTTTAATTATATGAAATATTTATATAACTTTGTTTCAAGTCGTCTCGTTATTTATGAATGCTTACTATATGAGGCTCGCTATTCCAAAACCCGCGTACTGTTTCTAAAAAGGTAAAAAAGGTAAAGGTAGGAGAATAACCCATAACTTGCAGCGTCATTGTGCTGAATTGCGTATGGGCGTGGTCCGTGACTACCTAGCAGCCGTAAAGAGACGCTTCTTGGTAGATACATGATCACATCATTCCACAACGACAGGGGCTGAAATGAACCATAACATTCGGGGTAACCCCCTACTCTTCCGAAAGATGCAATGGGTTCTTTAAAGTGCACACGAGCCAGATATATACACTGGACCTCCATTTTAAGTCCTTATCTGAGAAGACTTGGTTCTACCAACTGAACCATGGGCGAGGAGCAGCTGGAACCAGCGCCGATGTTAAGGCTGTAGCTAGCGGCGCCCCTGCCTAACAAATCAGTTGTTAAACTGAGTTACTGTATAAGAATGTGGCAGTTTTTTATGATTAAATACAGAGAAGCCGTAATACTTTTACTCATAAATTTGGCGATAGTATAGCAGTTTTTATTCCAGTAAATAACCCATCATTTTAAAGTTTATAATGTGGAGAATAAAAATATATTAAAAATGCAGTTCATTTTTCGGTCACTGCTGTTGGTTTTAAGATGGCAAGCCTCATATATGAACTATTGTTTAAGACCAACTCAGACAGCGTCGGCCGACGCAGCCCGACGCGATTTGTTGTCGCGTCGGGTCTGTGTGAGTTGAACGCAGACGCGATGGTGTGCGTCAGGGGCAGTCGCGTAGTAGAATATTAAACATGTTTAATATTTCTCACGACGGCTTAAGACTGTCCCCGACGATAAATCGGGTCGGGCTGCGTCGGCCGACGCTGTCTGAGTTGGCCTTTATGGATATCAATCACCCTCATCCTTTTTAGTACATACCAAAGATAGTGAAGTTTAAGATATGTTTACAATTTTTCACTCAAATCATCTCATTTATCACACTAAAAATTCTTTTATGTTTTTGTTTACTTAACACCTGTCTCTTATACACATCTAATATTATATTTTTTTATAAGATAATAAACAACCACTCTTATTATTTAGAATTGTTTAATTATATGAAATATTTATATAACTTTGTTTCAAGTCGTCTCGTTATTTATGAATG